AAAATAGAAGTTAGGTCTAAAAATAGAAGAAAAATAATTTTCATTAGACAGACACTACTCTATTGTGCAATTTTATGATAAAATTATAAATTAGTTTTATCAATATTAATATAAAATTGTTTAAAAAAATTTGTTATCTATTTTTCACTTTAACGTAGTAGCATATAGAATTAGAATCTTAAATCGTACAGAGCTTGTTATTATCCATATAATTTTTTATTTATTAATAAGTAATCTTTTTTCCAATAATAGCAACTTTTCTACCTGAGGATTTTGTTTTATAAAATTATTTATAAATAGACCGAATATATTATTATTATTATTAATACTAAACATTATTCAATATAATAAAAATTAATTTTTATTTGATCCTTCCTAAATGCTTAAAATATCTGGATAATAAAATAGAGATTAAAATCAAAACATTTATTTTCTAAAATATTGGAAATAAAAATAAATTAATAATTAATACAAGTACAAATTTTGAGATCCATCAATTGTGATTTTAAATAATAACAACCATCATTAAAAAACATTAGTAATAAAATTAATTTATATTTATATATGTTAAACCTGTAATTATTGAGGAAAGTTTTGAATAAGATAATTTTCTAAAAACTAAGTATAATATTAACAGTCTAGGATAGAGTCCTAAAATAGCATTTTTAAAAATTAGGTCATAAAATAAATATGAATTAAACTTCGACCTGAGAAATTTTAAATCATATATATATCGTATGGGGATTTGGAATCTTTGGATTTTTAAATCACTTACCAAGGGCTATTTAAAAAATTTTGAAATCCGATTCGGTCATGGGTTACTTTATTTGAATATTTACTGTTATGATATGATGTCAAAATGTATTAGCAAATAACTAATTTTTTAAAAAGGTAAAATAAATAAAGGGTAGAAAAAGAATTTAAGGGAAAGCAGAGGGGATAAAAAAAGGAAGCTTGTAAAATGGAAGGTTATTCAATGGAAGAAATGAAGCTTAGAGAGTTAGATGGCGATAGCAAGAGTTTGGCCTTCCGAAAATATATTCTAGCATGTGTACAATATTTACCCTATAAATCAGAGTCATGAACTATAAAACTACTTCTAATTTCTATTAATTTTTGTATGGATTTTTCATATAAATTTTAAAAAAGTACCTAAATATCTATGACTGAAATTGGCTGAAATTTATAGTGTAAATACTCGATACATTCTAGAATACATTTCGTTTAAATCGAATTTTAAAAATTTTTTAAATGGCCCTCGGTAAAGGATTTAAAATCAAGAGGTTCCGAATATCCCCATGGATTCCTATTCTTCATACGACAATATACATTAGTCGGAAAATAAATTATTAGATCATATTTGCCATGTTCAAAAGTTAAATTTATTTAAAATAGAAATAAATTATATACATAATGTTTTTAACAAGTGTAAAATTTTTCCAGGGTTTTGTTATTCAAAAATCAATTTTTCTAATTAAGTCCAAGAGAGATTTAATAATTTTTTTTTTATCATTTTCTTAAAAATTATACAAAATGTACAAAATTTAATCCAATCAAAATAGAGCCAACTTTAGATAAATTTATTTTCCAGAATTTTCTCTCCTTATGTAAATATTCATATTTTTTTCCTCATTTACGTTAACAAATTTCTTGGAAATCAAATAAAAAAAATTTTTTATCTTTCTCTTTAAATAAATAAAAGTTTAAAGCAATAATAATAATTAAAAAAATATATAATCGAGTCATCAAAACATTTTATTTAAAAAATAAATTTTATTAATTTTTTAAAGATTAAAAAAATATAATTATAAATAAGTTAAAAGTGTTATTCATTACTAAACTATTAATTAAAAATTATACAATTTGGTATTAAAAAAATTTTGGCTTATTAAAAAAATGAATAAACTGCTATTGACTTTTTCCTTATTGATTCTGACTCTATGCCAATTTGATGGTAAGTAAAAATATATTATTTTTCTTATTAACATCATTAATTTCTAAATTCTTATATTTTAATTAATAATATTTTTCAATACCTAACAGCTTTTGAACTATGACATCTTATTTTAGCCTTTTTTTGTTTAGTATACGGTTTTTCATTGTTATATTTGTATTTTTTTTTAAATTGTGTTATTTTTATGATGTTTTTAAAAAAGCAAGTTCATTTCTTCCTTCATTCTATTTTTCTCAAACTTTCTTCCTTCCTTCCTTCCTTCCTTCCTTCCTTCCTTCCTTCCTTCCTTCCTTCCTTCCTTCCTTCCTTCCTTCCTTCCTTCCTTCCTTCCTTCCTTCCTTCCTTCCTTCCTTCCTTCCTTCCTTCCTTCCTTCCTTCCTTCCTTCCTTCCTTCCTTCCTTCCTTCCTTCTTCCTTCCTTCCTTCCTTCCTTCCTTCCTTCCTTCCTTCCTTCCTTCCTTCTTTCTTTCTTTCTTTCTTTCTTTCTTTCTTTCTTTCTTTCTTTCTTTCTTTCTTTCTTTCTTTCTTTCTTTCTTTCTTTCTTTCTTTCTTTCTTTCTTTCTTTCTTTCTTTCTTTCTTTCTTTCTTTATTTACCAAAAATTTTAATGGTTAGACCATATAAAACAGAATGATTTTTTTTTTGAAAAAAATTAAAATCTTAGCCGAGCTACTAAAAGTTAAAAAAACTTGTGAACATATATAAATAATTATTAATAAGACGATATGTATGTACATAAAACTATGATATAACTTTTTATCGTAATTATATGGTCCGTTGTAAGAAGGCAAACCTTTCTACAATCTATGTACCAAATTGTGAGACTCTTAGATAATATTGTTTTAGGCTTAAATCTTCCTAAATATTTTTATGAGGTTTTTGTACAACACTAATCATAATTATATTTTTATATTTATATAAAATTAGTTTATTAATATTTCAATTTGGAAAAGAAACTACTAGAACTTATCTTAGATACAATAAAATATTTTAATTAAAATCTGTCTCTATCGGATTACTATAATTTTACCTCTAGTGGCTATATGAAATTTCTTATATAATTATCAAATAATTCTTAATCTTTTATTCTTGTTATAAATTATATTAATCGTATTTTATATTTAATAAAAAAATAGGTACAACTACTCCAAGTAAATATTTAAAAAATCTAAATATTTTATAACAACTACAATATTATTATTATTATATATAAGATAAACAAGATTTATATTTTCTTTAAATATCTGAATTCATTCTCAATGGATAAATATGTTGAGGTTTAGCTAGATCGCCATCTTATATTTTTATTATATTCGAACTCATATTTAATACAGATTAAATAATTTTGTTTAGTAGGCAGTGTAGTGCTAGATCTGCTTAAATTAGTTAAGGATTACCCCCACCCCTTTTAAAATTTTTGATTAGATTAATAATTTCTCCTATTATTTTACTTTTACTTTCCATTTTTGGTCTTGCTCAATTTATTTTGCTTTTGGTTCATACTCAACTTGAAAGTCACCCAGAATTTTAAAATTTAAAACACAATCAAAAAAAATTATAATTTATTACAGCAAAAAAAATTTTTCGAAACTAAAAATTTTATTAAAATTTTATAAACTATTAAAAATATGTTTATGTTTTTCGATTCGATAACCCTAATACCTAAAAATAACCTAATCATTGAATAAATAAAGAATAGTATAAATATTCAAGCCAAAAGAGATTAATAAATTTTAATTTTAAAAAAGATTTAATTTTGATAAAATAATTAGCTTAAAATTGAATATTTTTTAAATTTTTTTTTAAAAAAAAACTAATCATAATCTATTCTTAATTAGTAGTGAAGTGGCATAGAGAATAAATAGAAATTTTGTTTTTAAAATTTTATAAAATACATAAATGATTCGACAACAGTAAAATAAAAATTTGAAAAATAAAATAAAATACTGATATGTGATCTATCAAGCTTATGTTGGAAAATTCTTAAATTTTACAAATTTGGATATCGTAATATATTTAAAACAATATTAACTGATGTTAAAAATATGAATTTTTTTTATTATATATAAAAAATTTTAAATATATAGTAATGATATGATTAAATATATAAATTTATATCTCAAGGCGAAATTAATTTATATTAAGATTTATAATTTTAACGAATATATAGATGTATATATTCTATCTTTACCGTAAACCAAATTTATAAAATTATATTAGACAGAGATATGATAAAAAATAAAAAGACCTATATTTGTGTGTTGCATCAAAGCAAAGGCTCGTAAATTCATATACAATCTTATAATTTGTTTAGAATGCTGTAGTGTTAACAAACTTGGTTTGCTACAGACTTGTATAGAATAAAACTTAATAGAGATTTTTTAAATATGTTATTTAATGCAATAAAAGAATCGCTCCCTATTTGAAAGATAATATTTGTAATTAATTATATATTTGAGATACAAAGCAGCATAATAAACTCTCAGTCCTCTTTGGTCATTATTGAAAGATGATTATTTTATTTATTTTAAAATATTTTATTTAGAGACCAATCCAAAGATCATGAGTAAATTAAATATTAAATAATAATTGACATTTTATTTTATCAGTCTAATTTATGTTGATAATTACTGTAAATAAGATTTATTTTATATATTTATTATAGCGATTAAAATACCTTATTAGTGTTATTATATTGCTCTATTTGAGCCGATTTTTAAAAAACCAACTCAATAGACCTAATTTTTTAAATGGATGCCTAAGCCACTTATGTATTGAGTTAGCCGTTTTATAAAAACCGTGTCAAAACGAGCCATTAATACTACCAAATATTATACATTTTGATTTTAAAACAAATTTACACATAGTCTACTTTAAAAAAACATAGCATTCAAACCTAGTAGTACGTGCTGTAAAATGGAAAAATATTCAATGCATGGTTTTAGAAATATTGAATTTGTAGGCAAATAATAGAAATGGCAAATTTAATGTAACGTTAAAATTCTCAGCTCCCAAATCGTCGTACTTTAAAATAGATAGTTTCATCATTAGAGTGCGAATATTAGAGGATGGAAAAAATTTTAGCCAAGTTATTCAAGAGAGGTCTGTCCAATACAAAAATGGAACGGTTTTTACTTTATATTTTTTTTATAATATTTATATCTAAGAATCTCTCATAAAACGATAATTATTATTTTTTTTTCTCTTTCAAATAAAATAGGAAAACTACCAATTTACAATGACAAATTTGAATCAAAGCTTGGAATACTTCATAGAAATTTTCTTTCAATTCGAGAATGTTATAATTTATCAGTCTTCTTCTAAACACACATTGAAATGTAATATTATTATACATTCATTTGTCTAAATAATATAATTCAAGGGAAAAAGAATCAGTTTTTAGGGTACATTAGTTTGTAAAATCCCATTTAATTATAATAACTCTATGACTTATTAGGAGAAATTTAAAAAATAAAGGAAATAGATATTCTTTTAAAAATTTCAGAGATACATTTTAACAATTATATTGAATTTCAAATTATATAATTCAAAGAAAAAAATTATTATTATGTAAATTTTATTTTATTCAATTTATAGATCGAAAATCTTCAAGAGGTCTTTTAATTGGTAGGCAATTAAATTTATTCAAAAATATATTTATTTTATACTTAGTAAATCATATTTTTTTTCATATTGCTAAAGCACGATATAACTAATTGAATATTTGAATATCGATATTACATTCATTCGCTTTCTCATAAATTTAAATTACGAACAGAAAACCAGTCAAGAATGATAGGGAATCAGAATTATATCCTTAAATTAATGACGGTTAAATCTGAATACCCCTTTTTTGATGAGAGATAAATCAGCCTAAACCAGATAAATAAGGGAAAATTTCTGATTTATCTATTATTAAATAAAGAAATAAGAAAAAAAATGATTCCCAATCATTAACATCAGAGCTCCCGTTTGTCAACTGCTTATGCACTCCAAATCGTGAAGATGGGAGATAAATTATAGGGAAGCAAAGCAAAGAAGAAAAAAGGAATGAATAGAAGAGAGAAGAGAAATAAGAAACAAATAGGAAATATGAAATATGAAATATTTTTTTATAATTTAAGTTGTCAACTTAGGGTTTTAAGACACATGCATTTGAAGCCATATAAAAAGAAACAATAGTGTAATAAAATTTATAATATCAAAAATTTTGTCTGTTTTTAAGTATTTTTAAAATTATATCACCACGTGACCTCCTTTTATTTGATGATAAAGATGTTGTCTTTTCTTAGCCCAAAATATGTCGTAAATTTAAAATTTTTATAAGGTTAAAAAAATTGAAAGCATAAAATATAATATACTGTTATTAATGATGATGTTGCCTTTAATTAGTGGATGATGATTTTGTTTTTTATTTGTGTAAATGTCTCTAAAATTTTGGGTAAAAATTAAAAGCATCAAATAGAATTTCACTGATGAAGAAAGATAAAAATTAAAAAGTGTATAAGGTTTGTTGTTGAGGCTACCTAGTTTGATTTATATATATATACTGACCAAAAAAATTGAATAAATAATAATTATAAAAATCTAAAATGGTCCGTATAAGATTTACTGTTGATAAAAATTTATAAGCGGATAAGAATTGCTTTTGAGGCTACCCTTTTTAATTAATTTTAATATAAAAAAATTAAAAAAGAATACATGATATTTTCTGTTGAGGATGTTGAAGCAATAAAAAACCGCTCTCGATTTTCTTTGTAAAAAAATTAAAAGGAATACAAGATATATCCTTGTTACTACAATATGCCTGATTAATTTCCAATATATAGATCCATCTTAAATTTGAAAATAGAAATAATAATGGTGGTTATATTCTGCTAGGATATAACCCTAAAATTTTTAAAATTATATTGATAATCTGGAAATATATAGATAAAAAAGGTGCATAACTCATAAATCTTATTTAGTTGTAAATTTGATTCCACCTCATGGAGTTTTGCGCTTTTTCATAAAACGCTACAATTTTTCTGTGCCACGGCTCTTATTATTTAAAAGATATGTTTTGCACAGACTGACCTAGAATGGTCCCTTGTAAAATTTTGAAAGAATTTTTTAGTCCAGCTGGTTATCTAATTATGTATGAGTTATACCACCAGACCCTTAAAAATATTTTTATTTTTTTTTTAAAAAATTAATAAATTTATTTAATTCGCTAAAATAAGTTCCCGAACAGTAAAATAAAATATTTTGCAATTCCCTGACCTCTGACGGTGATAACCTTTATTACAATTGTAATGTAATTTTATTGAAAGTTTTATTTTAAATTAATATTTAAAAACATATGCACCTCTTTACAGATGATTTGCCTTTTAAGATAAATAGTGTGAAAATGGTTAAAGTGAACGGCAAATTGGGTATACAAATATTCTATAATGTTTTCAAGGATATTGAAGGTATTTTGTCATACATACTTTTGATCAAATATCCCCACTCAAGAAACTATTTACAAATAATGACGTTTGAGGTAAATAAACAAGATTTTTTTATTTATAAAATGTAACAAGATTTGAAACTAGATAGATTAAGAGGTATAATAAGTATAATAATAATAATAATACCCTCAAGGTTAAAGGTCTCTTTTAACATTGCGCCTCACATGGTCTATTCTTAATCATTTTTTTTTTAATTTTTAATGAGAAACAATTTCATACATCAGATTAATTTAATCTATTTAATATATATATACAGCCAATATCAGGAAAAAACAATCATACATTTATTAATGTGGAACCAAAGCTAGAATATGAAGTATCGTTAATACAAGACCCTGGGAAAAGAAATTTTTACAGAAAAGATTCGCGTTTCATAACTTCTCCTGAATATTTTTAAATTAATAAATTATGATTTTAATGTATAAATAATGGAAGTCTTTTTATAATATATTTTTCTTTGCTTTATGCCGGGATATAAATATTTTATTTCAAAAAAATTGTCATTATATTATTTACTTATGTTAAAAATTGTAATTGGATTATTTTATAATGCATTTTCCTTTGCTTTATGCTGGGATATAAATATTTTTTTATTTCAAAAAATTGTGATTATAATGTATACTTATGTTAAAAATTAAAATTGGGTTATTTTGTAATGTATTTTTCTTTGCTTTATGCTGGGATATAAATATTTTTTGATTTCAATAAATCGTAATTATTCAGAGCTAACCCTCTTGCTTTAAAGGTGCTTTAAAAACTCTTTATTAAAATTTATTATGTTATAAAATAATTTTATAATAATAATAAAAGATTCAAAATTTATATTATACTTAAGCGAATTATTATGAAATCTTATAGAAATATTTATAATTTGAGGAGACTTTCACGTCTGAAAAAGAAAATATTTTAATGTTTGAAATCTCATAATTCAAAATTTTTTAAAATGTGTCTAAGGCCCCATATCTATTCTTAAACCAAATTTATTTATTAGAAACATTAATTTATTTATTTATATTAAGATATTATATTATTTAATTATATTTAAGAATTCGGCGTACTTTTTAAATAGATTTATTAACAAATTCAATTTTTATAATATATGACTTGGATTGTAAGTTAACCTCGTACTATTTATTAAAAAAAATATCTTTTTATTTCTCAGTATTCAAATTATATATATTTTTTTAAGATTGTGAGAATCATAGAATTATTATTATCATAAGAAGTTATAATAATATATCTACTAATACCATTTAATATAATGAGATATGGAGTAAATATGGCGAGACTCTTAACACTCTGGTTCTCCACTTTATTCTAGTGAAGATTATTTGCTAATAATTAATATAATTCTATTTGGGGTGAAAATAATTTTATTGGAAACAGCAACAAGATATTATGGGAATAACAAACTAAAAGATGAATTGGCTTTAGTCTACGCTATTTAAGAGACAAAGAGATAAAATTCTATGTTTATAAAAAGTTGAATATGGGACCTATGACTAGACCTGTGCGCCGATGTCTCAATCAACGGAGGCGGTTTTTTTAAAATTTTTTATCGGCGTTCGGCGGTGCGCCTATTTTGCCGCCGTCTAATAAATTTTTGGCGGCGGCGGCAAAATATTTATTTAAAAATTTTTTTTTAATGAATTTAATTTATAAATTAATGTATTACATTTTTTTATAATTTATGTAGGCGATCTTTTCTAACACATTGCTAACATAGTTTAATTGATCTTAAATTATTTCCCGTCTCACTCCAATTTAAATTTATGTATTTTCTCATTTCTCAGAAATGGACTAAGGAATTGTATTTTTATTTTTACTCAATCAGAGTCATATCAACAACACATATAAGAAATAATCTATTAATTTTTATTATAATTAAAATAAATTTGGAATGCAGGCAAAATATGAAGTATGAAATATAATAAGTTAGAATTCAGATTTAGCAAAATTATAATTGTCATGAATAAACAGTATTTTATCAAGATTTGTAGGACATAACCTTTTAGCATTGAGTATTAATCCAGCAATGGAAAAAATTCTTTTGCTGAGTGTACTGGTTGCAGGTATGCAAAGAACCTTCCTAGCTAAATTAGCATGCATAGGAAGTTCCAGTCGCTTTTTCTTCCAAGAGCAATGCATCCTCTTCTGAAATAATATTTTAGCTGAGCAAAATATGGCATACTTGTTTAAGATTAGTAATATTGTTATAATCGTTAAAAGGGAATGTTTTCGAGCTAATTTCGCTATATAAGAGCATGATGTACCATCCTAGACTTGAATTTAACGCTGAGCATTTCTATTATGCTCTAAAAGTTTTAAATGTCGTATTAGAAATTGCAATGATTTTGTAGAATTTGAATTTAAATATTGTGAAACAATATTGGGATTTTGAAATCCTAGATCAAGTAGAGTTGCTAATATCTAATGTTTAGAATATAATTTTATTAATAAAAATATAAAATAACTTGAAGTTCAGTGATCGGAAACCTATGATCAAGCTTTTTTTCATATTTTCTTTTAAGCATATTATATCTGAGCAATCAGATTTATTGTGTATATGAGCTTCTATTTCACTGCTAAATGATAACCCTGAGTTTATTGTAGATCCTTTTTGGGAGGAAAGAAATTCCACCGACTCTCGGAATGGATTTACTTAAAGCTCATCTATCATATCCTATTCATTATTAAAGAGTTTTAAAGATTGTTTTCCTATTTTATTTAGAACATTATTTATAGGAATTTTGTTTACAATGCGAATACTTCCTAGCATAATTAATATGCTATGCTAGCGGGTAGGGCAATTTATTTTTAAAGTTTTTGCATTAATTGGATTGGTTGGTGCAATGCCATTTCTATTATCCGATTCATCAGACATATTAAAATGGTAAGATATTGATCAGAATCATCAATATTCAAGATATTACCTGTCTCATAAATTGTCTGCAGATATTTACCATGTTCAGCCTCAATTTCACATTCCAAATCAGCTACTCAATATCTGAGGGCCGAAATAATTTCTCTAATTATTTTAATGAGAATATCAATCTTGTAACTTTTTTATGCCAACAACTGTAACCAAATAATGAAGTCCATGCCCTAAGTATAAATAATGCTCATAATCCTCTAATCTGACGCTTCTTTTGACATTGGCCCCAGCATCAGTTACCATTTGTATTATTTTGGCTTTTAAATGGAACTCCTCTTCAATACTATCAATCTCAGATAATATTGTTTCCCCAGTATGCTTTTGAGTCACATTTCTAATTGTAGGGTAAAATATTTTAAATCAAAATTTTCATCTAAATGATGAAGACTAAATGTGATATAATTTCGACGCTTGAAATGATCGGTCCACAAATCAAAAGTGATAGAACAAAATTTTGGTTCAGAGTCAATCAAATTTATAACATTTGCCTTCATAGATAAATAAACATCGTCTAGTGCATCCCGACAAATGGTTGTCCTATTTGGCAATTCTGACGAGGAATCAATTATCTTATATTTCTAATTTTTGAACAATTTATTTTTTAATAATCATTTTATATAATTTTAAACCTTTAGAAAGTCTGTCATTCCTTTATTGTTTATAGAATCAAATGGCATTAAATCTAAGCAGACATCAAAACATAATTTCGCCTTATTAAATTTCATAGTTATTATAAACATTAGAAAGATATATAAAAACATTAAAATAGTTAGGGCTAGCATGAAACAAATTATAAATTAAATATAGTTTTAACTTTCAAATTAAAGCTTTACATAATTAATTTAATAAATTGTATATTAAGTTTATATTTAAGATATTTAAAAACAAAATAATTAGAGCTGGAATGAAACAAATTATAAATTTGATTTAGTTTAACCTTTCTAATAAAGTTTTAAAAATTATATATTAAATAATACTTTAAAACGATATTTAAAAAACACAAAATAATAAGGGGTGGGATGAAACAAATTATAAATTAGATTTAATGTTAGTATTCAAATTAAAATAATAATAATTTAATATATAAATATAATTAATATGCTTTCTAAAAATCACACACGCCACGCCGCCGCCATAATAAAAATCGGCGGCTTTTCCGGAGTGAATAAAAATACCGGCGGCTAACAGGTCTACCTGTGACATGCAAAAATAAATTTTTCATATAAAAAAGATGAAGCCATTTCAGTCTAATTTTTTGGAATTCATATAAGGTAAAATTAAAAAATCTCAATATTTGTTAATAAATTTAAAATGAAAAAATGAATGTTATAATAAGAATAAAGAATATTATAAAAACGATAACCTATCAAAATAATTATAAAAAAATATATTTATATTGATTAATATAAAATTTTACATATAAACGAATTTCATTATAATAAAAAGATCATAACGTGTAGAAATTATTCTTAGAAATGAGGATTATCAAGAATATCATCAAGAAC